CACCCTAGTCCCACCTGGAGCCCGGGCCCGCCGATGCCGGTCCCGACGGGTGATGTGGGATAGGGGGATATGGGGATAGGGGTGGGGAGATGCGGGATGGGATGGTACATGGTTTTGTCCCGCTCGACCAGACCCGGTCCCCCTCAGTTGAGATGGGGAGTTGTAAAGGGGTATGCTCAAATTTTTGGTATTGATTGTTTTGATACATTTTCTCCTGTTGCTAGATTAGAAACCATCATATTATTGTTGGCTATAGCTGCACAAAATGGTTGGAAAGTGTTTTAGTTGGACGTTAAATCTACATTCTTGAATGGCTTTCTTGAGGAGGAAATTTATGTTGAGCAACCTGAAGGATTTGCAGTCAAAGGACATGAAGATGAAGTGTATCAGCTCAAAAAAGCTTTGTATGGACTAAAGCAGGCACTAAGAGCTTGGTACAACATGATTGATGAGCATTTGGTTCAACTGGGCTTTAGAAAATGCCTTAGTGAAGCTACTCTCTACATTAAATGTGATGAAATTAATTTTATTGTTATTTCTCTATATGTAGATGATCACTGGTTACTGGAAGTAATAATGAACTTGTCAAGAAATTTAAAGAAGATACGCAACATACTTTTGAGATGACGGATTTGGGAGAAATGATGTATTTTCTGGGAATGGAAATCAAGCAAGAGCAAAATGAAGTGTTCATATGTCAAAAGAAGTATATAAAAGACATTTTGACAAAGTTTAGAATGGAAAATTGTGAAGAGACAACTACTCCAGTGTGTCAGAAGGAGAAGTTGAGTAAGAATGATGAAGCTGAAAAAGTGGATGAGACTCTTTACAGGAGATTGGTTGGCTGTCTCATGTATCTTACTGCAACTAGACCCGACATTTTATATGATGTAAGTCTTCTATCTTGATTCAGTAATTGTAAAACTGACACTCATTTTAGAGCAGCTAAAAGGGTGATAAAGATATGTTAAGGGACATTGAATTTTGGAATCAAGTTCTATGCGAATAAGAAGTATGTGTTCTAAGAAGTAAGATGTTGTTACACAATCAACGGCTGGAGCTGAATTCATAGCAGCAACAACTGCTGCAAATCAAGCCTTATGGCTTAGAAAAGTGCTACTTGACATGAATTTAAAGCAAGAAAACTGCGCAGAGGTGTTCGTGGATAGTCAAGCAGCTATTGCTATCTCAAATATCAAATTATTCTTTCTCAGAGACACACAGAAAGAAGGATCTGTTGGGAAGAGTATTGATTAATTTAAAGCAAGAAAAATGCATAGGAGTGTTGATTAATTGGCTCAGTTACTGCAGTAATTAGTCAATAGAAGTTTCTAGATTTTCTCCAGCTTCTTAGCCGTCTTCAACATTTTAAGTTAGTTGCTGTTTTATAGGAGTTAAGCTGCAATTTTTAATAGTTTGTTTATCATACAATCATGTGCAATGTAGTTTCTTAGATATAGGCTTTAGTTATTTTATTTTTTTCTGTTTTTAAACACCATTTTAGTTCAATTAAAAATCATATTTCCACCAGAAAGTATTTTCTTTTCTTCTTCTTCCCTTTATTTTTGTTTATAGAGTTGAAGTTCAGTTAAATAACTCCTACAAATGTCTTTAATATATTTCACTCTATTTATGATTATTGAAAACTCATAAGTTCCTGTCACATGTTGCCACCCGAGCTGATTATGCTTAGTGTCACCTTATATTCAGTACATACCGCATACTTTTCTTTGCGTTGCATCCTTTCTTCATGTAGATTCAGGCGTTCTCTCTCAGACTCGTAGCTAGACAGGTTGCCACTTTCCAGTCAACACTTGGTGAGTCCTTCTCATTCAGAGACTTCAAAAAGTAGTTTGTAGTTCGGTTTTTCATCAAGACAATTAATTGATTTGCGATAGCTGGGAGTCATGTCCCGACCAAACTTATATCTTCTTTATTTTAGTTAGTGGAGTGTTTACTTTAGACATTAGTTGTTTAGTTCCATGGATCTTTCAGTCATATCATTCAGATATATGTTAATTATTTCTTCAATTAATTATGTTTTAGCTTCCACTCACACTTTTGCAACACTTCGGAAACTAGTAGGCTAAACTATAGCTTGATGTGACGGTTAGAGTCGTAGGTATAACTTCCCGTACTTAAATTGAAGGGTTTCGGGTTAGAACGTCAAGGTACAACTCCCCAAGAACCAACCAAGGGTCCTTGAGGAGGACCCTAAAATCTATCCAAATTAGTTCACCCACCAAAGGGACCCACGCCCCAAATGGGGATCCACGCCCCGTGGGTGAGGGGTCGTGGGTCAGGGTCCCAGAAACATAGTTGCAGAACACCACCCATGGTTGACCAGTACTCCCCGTGGGCTCACCCACGGCCCGTGGGCGTGGTCTCATGGGTGAGGCAGTGGTCAACTTGAGTCGGTTAAGTGAGGGGTAATATGGAACTTTCCAGAATTAATTTGTTATTAAGTGATGTCGTTTTATACTAATTTAGACTAACTATATAATGATTTAAGACCTCTAAATTAAGTCATCTTCCTCATAATTCTAAAATCCCAAATCTAAACCAACTTTTCCCCAAAATTCTCTCCAGAACTTCAAGGAAGAAGAAGAAGGAAGTTGGAGCTAGGGTTGAAGGAGCAAGATTTTCTTCTCAGATTCATTGGATTGCATTGCTAAGGTATGGTAGTCCTTCATCCATGGATAGTTTTCATCCATGGAGTCCCTTCAAAACTCAATTTCAAAGATAGAAATTTCCCCAAAAGCTAGGGTTTGACTCCAAGTCATGGATTCCTTTAAAAAACTATTGTAATGATTTAATTACTTTACATTATGATTGAATTGATGATTATTATGGTTTTTATGATGTAATTTCCCTAGAATCCATGAAATTCCCTTACTTCCCAATTATGATCTTGTGATGTGGGTTTGTTGATAGAAGAAGGATATTATGAGATTATGCTTGTAGTGATTGAGTTATTTGAATCATGTTATCATCCATGTCTAATGTAGTAATTCTAAATGTGTTGATTGAATGTGATCTTTGATCCGTGAAGGGTAAATTATGAGAATTATGCATGATTATGAGATTTATGTATGTGCTTTAAGAACACTTTGAGAGTGAAGTGTCCATGATTATGATAATGTTGTTGTGTTGATTGAAAGACTATTCTCATGAAAACCTAAGGAACATGATGTGAAAGGTTTTCTCACATAATGATGATTCTAAGGTTGAAAGGCTTTCTCATCTATTGAATCTAATTAATACATGTACGGTGAAAGTTTATTCTCACGCATGATCTAAGAGCTATCCTAATGAACTCTTTTGGATTGATTGTCAAGTACATCCTTCCATACGACATGAATCAAGTTATGACTTAATAAAGTATTACGTGGGAATTATGCTGTAACGACACTAAAAACGAACTAGTGAAACTAGAGCCTCATATGTGAGTTTGGAGTTTGAGAACTTGATGAAATGATGAGAAATGACCGTGACGTCCGGAAACTAGTCATTTAAACTAGTGAGTTGTAAGGGTCAACTTTAAATGGTCATATTTTTTATCTCAAGATGAATTAGGTGGTCCTTTACCTATCCAATTAAAGGTCTCTGAGTCCTCTTTCCAACGCCACCGAGTTTGCCCAATTCCGACCTCGGAGTAAAAAGTTATGCCCGAAATATGAAGCACTG